TCTTCTTCTTTTTTTTTTTTTCTTTTCTCAAAGAAAGAAAGAAACAACGACGTGTCTCGTATATACCGATCTCGACTCGCTCTCGAACGTTCACATTGGAAAATTAAAAAACGGCCATCTTTTTCGTCTCGTGTCGTACGAGGAGAGAAACGAAAAAAAAAAAAAAAAAAAAAAANAAAAAAAAAAAAAAAAAAAAAAGAACACTTTCATCATCCCTCTCGTTTCATCAACTTTCTCGTCATCGAGGTAAAGAATAGCAACAATAAAAAGGATAAAATGTTCGAAAGATTGTTGTACGCAGGGGCAATCAGGGCCTGTGCGTTGGCGTTCGATCGGGCTCCGCGCTTAAAAATTCATTTCGAATCTAAAAAGAGATAATCCGGTCTCTTACACACCCACACCCTCTCGTCATCCAATTCGATATATCACATCGCTCTCGCTCTCTCTCATACACACACACACACATACACATACTCATACACACACACACATTCTTTCGCTCTTTCCTATATCTCGCATCATACGCTTGCACAATACGTACTTACGATATACCTCTTACAATATTTTATATTCATTTATTCTATTAATTATATCAATACTGTTGACGGATAGAGATTCATTCACAGCTCGCACCAGAGCGAACGATCGTCCCTGCCGTGCGCGGCGTACCGTATTACGTTCAACTTTATCATCATCCCCCATTATTTTATCGTGTGTTTCTCTTCTTCTTCTTCTTCTTCCTCCTCCTCCTCCTCCTCTTCTTCGTCTTCTTCGTCTTCTTCTTCTTCTTCTTCTTCTTCTACTTCTTCTTCTGCCTCTTCCATTTCGTTTCACCACCGACAGTCCAATCATCCTCCCCTTTCTATTCTTTTATTTTCTTACATACTTTGTTTCATTTGACATTAATGTTTTATCACACGCTAAACGATCGGCCCCTCCCCCCTTTTGTATAATCTCGATCAAAGGGGCCGGGTTTCACGATTCTCGCTAATGGTATTTCGGATCGTTCTGACATCGAAACGCCACGCGGATGCGTTTTGATTTCGGATCGGCTGCCTCCTTTGCAGCTCGACGAATTCGGAGACACCGCGCACCTCCCCTTTCTCCATTCGAGGATCGACCGACGATAAGTGTTTGCTCGTGTATAGATATACATATACATATACATATATACATACATATACATGTATACACATACGTATATATTTTGCGTCTCGTACTGTGTAGTACCTGGTGTATTCCGCGTATCGGGAAAAACCTCGAACGGAAAACTGCGCGTCCATTCTCAGCCTCGAAAATTAATAACAGCGTATCTCGAACAGAGTGGATCACAACAACACGTGTTATTTAAAGTATCATGGTCGTAAAACACGAACGAAGTCGTCGTCTAAACGTCGTCGATGTGACGTAGGCGCGCACTTCTCCACTTTCTCGTCTTCATCACGGAGAGTTCCCCCTCGTGTTCCATCTCGCCAGAGTGGGGAGAAATTTTTGGTCACTCCCCTCTCGAGAAAAAGAAAAAAAAAAAAAAAAAAAAGGGAAACCCGATCACATCTTCCTCCTCGCACGATCGTCATCAATCCTCTCCTCGGTCGGCGACGAATCGAATTCTCACTTGTGACCACGCTGTGCGAAAAAGTATTCGATCTGTTGCAAACAGATGAGCTGTTGCATCAGGCTTTGCAGCGGATCTTGGCCCTGAGACTGAGCTTGCTGCGGCTGCTGTAGCGACTGCGTCAAGCCTCCACCAGTAGGCTGAGCAGCCGGCGGCAACATGCCGCCCGGACCCGACTGCTCGGCCAACAATTGCCGCTGAAGCTGTTGCGCCTGGTAATGGGCGACCGCGACCAGCTCCGAGGACTCCATCCCCATGGAGGCTGCGGCTGCAGCCGCCGCCGCGGCGTGGCCCAATTGCACCTGCTGCTCCGCGTGATGGCCGGACAGGCCAGGCTGATGGCAGGCCAGTGGATGGGACAGGCCGACGTGTGGCAGCCTGCCGGCCGAGCACCCGGTCGAGGCTAAGTAGGCGCCGGGGAGGTTAGGGTTCTCGCCCCGCTAGGGAGCCATGTTCTTGGGCCTGCGCCCCCGTCGCCCCCTGGTGGGGGGGCGCGGGGACTCCTGGCCTCACTGGCTCACCGCGGGACTCTTCTTGTCTTGTTGCTGTTGACTGGCGTCCTGCGTCCCCTGTACACCCGCTGCTGCGCCACCCTGCCCACCTTGAACTCCCTGCAACCCCCATTGCACGTCACGCATCGACCCACGTTCCCTCGCCTCTCGTACGTACGTTCCTCGATCTGTTTCGAGTGGTGGACAATTACCTGGCTGCCGGGCCCTCCTTGTGGCGGGCCGGGACCGCGGTCCGGGGGCCAAGAGTTACCCGGGGTCGGTTCCGAGTGGAATTGATGGGGATGCGGGGGCGGCCCGCCCGGCGTGTCGTGACTGTGCGGGTCCAGGCTGTTGGTGGCGTCGTACTGCGTGTTCTCCAACCTCGTGATTACCCGTTCGTCCTCCTCGCCGAAGTCCCCTCCCATCAGCGACGGTTCACCGACAACCATCACGTCCTGGATCGACAGGGGAGCAAGAGGATCAATCAGTTGATATCACGATCGACGTTCAGAGAAATCGTACGAATCGCTGGTCGTAAGGAAAAAAAAAAAAAAAAAAAAAAGAAAGGAAAAAGAAAGGAGCGTTTCCTTTTGAAAATTTCTTGAAAATCCTCAACGATGTTGGAACCGATTTCGAAACGGGACAACGGCGATAAAGCCTTCGATAAAGGACGTTTCGGCTGCAGCCCGTTCGACTCAAACGAAACAAAGCAAACGAAGCTTGTGATGCTTCTGATCGCTCACCTGTGATGCCAGAGAAAAATTAGGCCCCGGAGATCTCTTTTTGCTGGGGGCGGGTGGCGCGTTGTTGCCGGGACCCGACGTGCTACCCTTCCGCTTTCTCCGCTTGCTGGCCGGCCTCTGCGATTCTGAAAGAAACGAGTGCAACGATGAGGGGGAGGGGTGCAGGATCGGTCGCTAGAGTTACGCTAGCCATGTAGCAGCGCGCTAAGAAACTTCAGACCGCTACCCAGCTTTGGACCTTTCTCTCCATATCAAAGGTCTCTGACACACAGAAGCATGCATGCATCGGTGGACAGACAGATAGAGGATGATCGGCAAGATCAACTATATATATATATATATATATATATATATACACACATATATATATTCGCCTCTATTTTCTCCGTCGGAGAAAATCAGATAAGCTACTTGGAAAAAAAAAAAAAGTACTCTGCACTCACGTTCAATCACGTATCTTTACACAGAGAAACACGCATCGCATCGAAGTAAATCCGACGTTCTCTCAATTCTTACGATTTCTTAATACGCGCTCGGTTCCATGATTTCGCCAACCTTGAACCACGGGGGCGTCGTCGTCGTCGGGTAATTGAGAGGGAGACGGTTCCCGGTCGCGGAGCGAAACAGGAAACGCGGTTGCGGCGCATACGCATGATAAAAACGGCCGATAAGCCGACGAGAAAAAGATGCACGCAACCATCGATTGGGGGAGAAGAAAAAAATAAAAAAAAAAAAATCAGGCACGCAGTGCTATCTGTCGACAACGATCGCGCCAATCGGATAGAAGATCGTCTCGTTTCGTTACCGTTTCCTTTAAAAAAAAAATTTCTTTAATCTTGTTTTTCCTTTTAATTTCGAGTCTGCGTATGTACATATATAATTTCCTGCAGAACAACGTTAAACGAAAAAAAGAAGGAATCGAGAATGATCGTTCTTCTTCCTCTTAATCGCAAATTTTGAGATGACAAACGATCCGCGTATGAATTTTACCATTAAACGTAAAGCACAGAGGAGGGGGACGATTAAATATTTGACGAGTCGGACGAATCTATATCCCCAAATATTGCGACGAAATACGATTTCCCAACGGGTTGTGGGCGCGGAAGAGATAAAGGATGAGATAATGGGGGGGGCCTCGAGGGAGGGGAAATAAAAGTTCTGGTCGTAGAAACCGATTGGAACCGAGGCCCAAGTGAACGCGGCAACAAGTCGACGAGGAATATTCCGTCGTCGAGCGATCGAAAAACGAATCCTGCGGTAGACTGGTCGACCGTTTGGCTCCACTGGCTGGTGCTTCTCATGTAAAGCAACTGTTCGTCTACCTCTCTTACCCGGCGGGGCAACCATCCTCTGCCATTTCTGGAACAAGGTCGTCTTCAAGCAGTCCCGCGGTGACAACGCGTACGCCTTGTGCCTCGACATCAACTCTTGCATCGGTTCCAAGATCACGCATAACTGGAAACATAAAGAAACATAAAGAAATTCGATAAATAATTCTCGTTCCAGCGTAAAGAACGAATTAAAAAAAAGAAAAATCTACTAACTCCTCCTCCATACGAATTTTTGATTTTATTAAATTCTAGAAAAAACGAATCCGAAGCAAATTTTTCTCAAAAGAGACTGCTACACAATGAGAGAGAGAAAGAGAGAGAGATTCGTTGATCCATTTATATATACATATATATATATATATATTTCGATAATTTTGGAGTAAAAATAGACAGGCTTATACAGAAACAAGATAAATGCGACTGTTATTTAATCCGACGCGGGTTCGACAGGGAACTTATGCACGCTATTAATATGAAAATTATCGTATACGGTGTGTGTGTGTACCGGTTGAAAATAAACTTCCTAAAATATATTCGCACAACGGTGTGCGCAACGGTAGCAGAGCGGCAGAGCGGCTTGCATCGTCGAACACTGTCCAAGGGAAATTAAATTTGGTTTATGTTTGCCGTAATAAAACTGGAATCCATTTTACATTATTATCGTAAGCACGTAATTTCACGGCAGCCTTTATATTATAATGATGACAATTAAAGTAATCGATAGCGCGGCGGTGGCCGGGTTGGACAGAGTGGCGAAGTGCCGCCGGAGGGCCAAAATTTTCCAAAACTTTAATTTCATTTTAATTAATATTCGCGTCGGGTACGTAGGCGCGTCGCCATTGGCGAGATTTCCGATCGATTCTCCAACGTCCAAACGTTGGTGTCGCTACTATTTTTTCACGCGCATTCGTATTTATAATTTCTTCTAAAATCTAATTCTAACTCGATCAAATCGAAGAGAAAATATAAAAAGTTTTCCACGAGGAGGATATTTTCTCGTCGGCTTTCGATTAACGTAAGCGACACAATCGTTCCAGAAGAGAGACAGGCGCGAGTGAAAGCGCTTCCGAGCGCGCGAAAGAAGGTGGATCGTAACCCGGATACTCGCAACTTTCGCGAGCCGATCTCTTGCCTTCGATTCCTCGTCCATTTTAACCCTTTATCGTAAACAAGTAAATATTAACAAGTAATATTAAGTGGGGAGCCTTTCCAATATATTTGATATACATCTCGACGAGAGAAAATTCGTCGTTTAACGTCAAGTCTTACTCTTTTGGAATAAACGAAATTATTTTGAAATGGCGTGTACATGAAATATATATTTTTTGGAATCCATTCCTGAAACTTGCCATACGTTGTATATTATTTATATTTCGTTGATTAAACACGAATGAGACGTCGTTAGAACTTGCGAATTTACACAAAAAGTATATTAAATACCATCGTTCGAAATTATAAAGGATTAGAATAATATAGATCGAATAATATACTATTATTATTTCGATGAATCGCCTATTGCGAGCAATTACATATTCATCGAACCTGCCTGAACAACAATTGAAATCTCGATGAATTCCAACTATTTAGAAGGCAAATAATTTTTTATCCATTATTTTACTGGAAAGACTGCTCCACTAGCTGGAATACACGCACAGAGATAGAAAAATTAAATAAAAAATTAATTTCTCGATTACCATTACTCGATCGATAACAATAATAATACGTACCCTAAGATAGTTGAGGGTGGAATTGGTGATGCCCTGCCTTGTGATGTTCTTGCTAAGCTGTTCGAGCATCGTCGGGTCCTGTTGCATACCGACCACAGTTCTAGGCACGAGTTCCTTGTGCGTCCTCACCGACATGTGCCACGACTTTATCCTCATAAGGTCGTCAAACGTGAATTCCAATATTAATCTACCCTCCGTGCATACCTGCAGAACAAATACGCGTTCAAATTACTCTGTATAAACACGGCCTCAATGCCCTCCCGTCCAATCTCGTAGGTGAGAAATTTCATTTTACGTCACGCAACAGAGGATAGCCGGCGTCTCGAATAAAATTTACGAAATGCAATTACGAGTTGCGAGAATGCGAGTTTGAGAGTATCGAGACAAGTGTGAAGAAAGAAAATGGAAGAAAGAAATGCCTATTTTCCCCTCCCCCGTTTTTCTTTCCTCTCGAAAAATATTACGAGACGAAGATTTCGAGAAGCGGATACAGTTCAATCCGCGTCGTTTTGTCAAAATCACGCGTTATCCCGTACAACGCAAGAACTCTCGTGCACAAAGGGTTGAATCGATATCGCATCGGAGATAACAGATTCGATCATGCGAACAAGCTTTCTCCCTTACCTTAGTGAACATCGGTTTTCCGTGATGCGTAACCATAACGCAGTTATCACAGTCGAGGGTTATGCTGGTATTGTGAAATGACTCCTTCGGGTGTTTCAAATTGTAGTAAAGTTCCGTCACACCGCCCTCGAATATCGAACGGAAGTACCTAGGTATTAACGTCCTTCCTATCGCTGTAAATATAATTGAACAAATCGTGATCAGAATCTTGGTCTATACGTAAAAATATATTCGAAGGGAAAATTCCTCCCTCTTCCATTTCTATATAATAATTATAAAACTTCTAAAATGCTTGTGTATATCTTTTTTACTTATATTAAAAAGAAAGAAAGAAAGAAAGAAAGAAAATTTCTATATCGATTACAAGAATAAAGGAAGATAGAAGTCGAATTTTTTCACCAGTTTCGAGGCGAAATCTCGATTGTTAAGCGATTATTACGTTCGCAATTGCGAAGCAAAACGTAGAAGGGGGGAAAAATGTTAAACGCGGACGTAGGATAATTTGAGAAAAATTCGAAATCGAAGGAGGTGGGTATCCGTATCCTTCGCAATATCTTACTGTCGCAATAATGCCCGCCCGTCGTCGTTTTACGCTCGATGACGACGCGATGCGACGTGTAATCACGTTGTTACCGTGTATTCAGGGACGAAGCGGAGGGGCGAGGAGGACATTAAATCCACCGGTTGCAAAATTGCTCCACGGTGGCGCGTAATTATTTAGAACGTGTGTGGAAACGCGTGGTGCGTGCGTACGGGCCACTGGCACGGGGACAATGGACCGTGAAGAAGAACCGTGTCGCCCCGAAAGAAAAACGAGCAACCGGAGGCGGGTGTTGTATCTTCTCGTCCCCGCGAGAGCTTCGCAAATGCGTTTTCCACGTTTGCTAAATAACGTTATACGCGGAATAGAGACTAAAAAAAAGAAGAAGAAGAAGATTAGAAAACGATCCAAAGTGATATGGTTTTGATAACTTACTGTATCTCTTGGGGCCGTCCTCCAAGCAGAACGTGAGGGTTAAGGTTGCGTCATCCTCGAAGAATTCAGTCGCGAATGCGTCCCACCAAAGATTGTCGCTCTCCTGTAACATAATGGACGGATGCAAGGATGTAATATTCTCCACTTCCGGCGGTGCAATCGTCTCTCGACGAGAAAAGTCGCGGCTCGAACACGAGATGCTTCGATAACATCATTGTTGCCCGTCGGCGAACGGAATCGCGAACCAGAGTATATATAATGTAACGCGAGTACGTCATTCTCGGCTTACCCGATGCTACCTCGGCCGACTTCCGCCCCCGAGGCTCGCTTCCAACTCGCTCGTTTACAATTTTTCGTCACGATCGCGTAACGAAAGCACCGTGTTTTCGCGGTGTTGTTTGCACCTGCCTTCCTTCCTTCCTTCCTTCCTTCCACCAGCCCGAAATTACACAGCCCCCTCCTATAATCCGCGACAACGTTTTCAATCTGCGCGAGAGAGAGATAAGGCAAGGTAAGGGGGGGAGGAGAGAGAGGGCGCGACTCGGCCGCTACCTGTAAACCGTGTCGTTTTCAAACGTATTCGTGTTACTCTACATATATATTGGCGTTTCGTCGCGGCATGAATATTTATAGGCTGCGAATATACGGAACGTTTGAAATTTTTACCGTCGTAACCGTAACTCGTCACCTCGTGAAAAACCGATCGACTATGGAACGCAGCACCGCTTCATTTCGAATTATTACACCACGCGCGGGGATCCATCATGAACAATAGAGTAGAAGGCTTCGAGCTTTGTCGTCGCGTTTTTGTTCTTCTTTTTCCGCGAAAAGCGTAGCGGCGTTTTCGAGAGGACACGTGTAAAGGAAAAGGTGGAGGGGGGAGTCTTTATATAAAAGAGTCAGTCGTGTCTCGGAATCGTGCGTCAAACATTCACAGGATTTATTTATACACGTAGGGATATTTAGAGACAGAGATAAAATTATCTATCGCGTTATAAATATTTTATAAGGGAGTTTGAAAAAAACGTCTCTAGATTTTTTCCTCGCGGCTTCTCCCGTCTTTATATCGAGGAGTTATTCGCCGTGTAAAGAGAAGAGTAATTTCGTTATTCGCAAGTGTATCGTTATCCTTGGACCTTTCGCTCGCGGTTCGCGTATGCCGAGCTATGCCAAAACTTTAGACGAGCGGCAAACGCGATTTCGAGAAAATATGTGGATCACTGGGTCACGGGCTCATTCATAAATTTCTCTATCGTCTTAACCTTCTCTTCTCTACCAACACTTCGAATCTCGATAACGAAGATATCGATTAGAGAATGTAGAGTGTACTTGGATTTGGATTTCGATTTGGTAAAATTTTTAACAATTAACAAGAAAATATAACATCGTTTGGTGTCATTTCATAATACGTATGCAACAAAAATCATGCACGTGAGATTTCAAGGTAAACAATTCTACCGTCTTCTTCGCGTATTTTATTTCGATATTCAACTCCCGTATATACAATCTCCAATACAAGCAAAGAGAAAAACGTAAACTCTTGGATTGTGGAGAACCTCGATCGATGCAAATTCTCGATCATCACAAAAATCCCCGCTTTTCCTTTTCATTCACTTCGTTTCATTCACCCACCTCGACGAACACAAAGGGAGGTCAACGATCACTGTTCCCCTCTCCCCCATCCCTTGGGAGGCGAATTTTTCGAAGAGACAAACGCGTCAAAACGTTCGAGTCAAGCTCCAACCAGTCCAGATTTGGCGAGGAGGGGGAGGGGGGAAAAAAGGAATATCGAGGCGGGACGATCGAGTTTCCGGCTCTCCTTGTTTCGTCGACGACGGACGACGACAACGACGCCGGGTTTCGCAAGAAAAGACGTCGTCGGAGCGAGGTCACGCGCGGGAAAAATAATAATAAGAGCGAGGGGGAGAGGAGGAGGGATGAGACGTGGGTGAGGCTGGATGCATAATTGAATGAAAGCGCAGCGAACAAGCGAGTCGAGAGCCAGGGGGTAGTCGGTGGTGCGAGCGAGAGGGGGCGAAATGCTATAATTTCAAGCCAGACAGTCATGCGTTATTCAGCGACGAGTATAGGTCGCTCTCTGTCTTTGCCTCGTCCCTCCTCCACTGTTTTCCTTTCTGTTTTCTCCTCCTTTTCATTTCTCCTGATCCTCCAACTTGCCTTTGGACCGTACGCTCGAAATCAGCGCCAGAAATAATCCAAATTTTCCAACGTGAGTTTGGTCGTCTAGAGCATCGATTCCAAAGTTTCCACGTTTCGAGATGGAGGGGAAAAAATCATATAACGTAAGGAGAGAAGAGAGAAGAAGACGCGTTAATCGGTTGTTTCGTTGAAAATAAAGAAGATACTCTCTTTTTCAAGTGTTCAAGTTGGAAAGAAATTTGTATAAGCGTTCTATCGATGTAATGAAGGATATAAGGCGATTTCATTGAAATGGCTCGTCCACCTCGTTTTAGAAAACGTTTGATCAAAATACGACGACGGAGAGATTCGTTAAGGCCGATCGATATCGGCCGAGGATCCGGCGTGAAGTGAAGAAGACGTTAACGCGTAGAGGGGGGCGGGTAGAGGCGCAAGACAATCGGTTTTCAGGGAGGTCCACGTGCGAGATGGGGAGATTTATTTCGGACTAGAGAAGCGGTGCCGTGCCAAATCAAGCAAACTGTTGCCACTCTCTCGCGCAAATTGATATTTCTGGCAAGCGCAAAGCTCCATAGCGAGCTGAAATCGGGGAGGAATGTCGAGTCGATCAAAATAGACGAAGGATCGACACCGAAATCGGAAACGGGAGGAAGGAACCCGCTGAGAACGAAATACGAATGCCAAACGTTAAGTAATATCTCGAGAATGCTGAAAGAATGGTTCGTGGTTATCTCTTTTGAAATTCTCATTGATTCTCAGGTGGGGGAAGAAAAGCGTTGCGAGTAGATACGTGGTGTGCGATTTTCTAGAAAATGTTGTAACAAGTCGATTATTATAATATATATTGTAGGTTTTTTAGAATAGAGAATAGTTTCAATTCCCGCGCTTATTTGCCTTCAATTCGTTTTCATTTAACATTATAATTTTTCTTTTCTTCTATAATTTTCGAAAATTTAAAAATTGATATTTCTCAAAATAAGAAAATAAGAAAAATTTATCTTAAGTTTAACGAATAATGGAGAGATATGTACTCGGCTTCCGTGCATGTGTATCATTTTTGGGCCATCTTCGTAGGTATTTCGTTGTAAAAGAAAAGAAAAGAAAAAGAAAATGAAAAGAACAGGCTCACGACTTGGCAACATTTTAAACTTTCCAAACTTTTAATCAAAGTAGCGTACCTCGGGAGCATACTCTACATAGAAGTTAGATCGATACGTAACGCGAACTCTTTGCCCGCGCAAATCACCAAAAACAACAACCGGCAAAGAACAACGTAAGTAAAACATTCGGTGGTAAGTTTCGAATTCTCGAATCTTTTGGTATCGGTGAACCACAAACGACCAAGGAATTTGTGAAAACTTGACCGATCCGAAACTTCGAAAGGAGAGTTAAACTTCTCTCTTTCTCTGTCTCTCTCTCTCTCTCTCATACGAGAAGGATACAAGAATATATTAAATTTCGTTTCCAAATGAATCTTTGACGAGATACAAATTTCTGCGGCTAATCACCTTTTGAATCCGGCTTTTTCTCCACCACCTTTTCCCATATCTGTGCCTATAAATCTTGTAATTGATATATATATACAGGCTGATTTTCGATTTGCACGTCATCGAAAAAGGAAATCCGTAAGGATAGAGAATGAGTTGGTCGTAAATTTCTCCTAGGCGAAGTAATTTTCATTTAATTATCCGTTCGAATATCGAATTTTTTTTTTTTTTTTCAAGTCGAATCTTGATCAGTCGGATTGAAAGAAATTTTGTTGTATCGATTATTGACCCTGCAACGATATAAGAGGGCTTCCTCGTCACCCCGATAGCGGGGTGTACTCATTTTAGTTATCGCGTCGCCAATATAAAACTCGTGCAACTTTGTTTCCAGCGAAGAACGTTCGAACGAAAAAAAAACGAAATTTAATATCGTTATATATATCTTAGTAATAAAAAAATCTTAGTAATAAAATCGTTATATATATATCTTAATAATAAGCATCTACTAGGATATTTTTAGGATATTTTTTATTGCGAGAAGAGAAAATTAAAATTATAAATTATAAATTGAAAAATAATCTCAAAAGAAATTTTTGTTCTTTTTTTTTTTTTTGGAGCAAACGTTAAGGTTAAGTTCGATTCTCGATACACCCCCGTATGTTCCGTGCTGGCTACAACGTGTAGCAAAAAATGGCGACTACGGTCGGAGAAAAGCGCGACAACGGGCAAGAAATTCAATCTCGATCCTCTGTCGACGAATGAAAAAGTAGGAAAATGCGTCGCGGCGCCGGAGACACACAAATCATCGCTGATTTCCACGATGTGCCGGGACAAAGCAGCGTAATACGCGCTCTTTTGGCCGGCGTATTAGCCGGAGTTAAATTCAATTTGTCCAGCCCGAAGTAATCCTGGCTCGGCGTGAAAGAGAGAAAAAGAGAGGGAGGGAGGGAGGGAGGCAGGAGGAGAGGGACAGAGAGAGAGAGAGAGAGAAAGGGAGGTGGAAAAGGGAAGCAGGAGGAAAAAAACGCGAAAATCCGGGACGTCGTTGCATCGCAATAACCGTGTCGACAGAGGAACGAACCCTGGCGACCCGAAAATTCGGATAAAATAGAAATTAAGTTAGATCTTTTTGCGTAATTGTTTTTTTTTTTTTTTTTNTTTTTTTTTTTTTTTTTTTTTTGATTTCTTTTTTTCTTCAACTCCGTTCGTTTACATCCTCGCATTTATATTTCGCTCGTCGAAATATTCGTTATCCGCCATCACGGTGAAATCGTGGATGCTTCTCTCTCTCTCTTTCTCTCTGTTTATATCTCGATGACGGTGGTGGTACCATGCCGTAGATATAATATTACTTTTATATTTAAATAATGAACAAATGAAATGAAGTTTCGTTCCGGAGTTTGAATTTGACGGATTAATTTCACTTCGTTCGATCTTTGTTCTATTGGAATTGGTT